AGAGCAGGGAGAGTCCCGAAACCGTACTCCTGGAATGGAGATAAGAGCTCAAGCATCTGAGAGACTGAGACAACCCTGAGAGAGAGATGACGCAGAGGGAGAAAATCCAGAGCAAGAAAGAATGACCCCAAGCAAGCGCGTACATCCAGAAAGAGCCTCATCTATATACTGGTCATGACATTCATGATATGGAATATACCATTGACCAATTTGGGTCTCAGTCTTAAACCTCAGGTTGAATCCTAGGCTAGTAATTGGGGCTGTGCTCCCTCCCAGCTTCTCCTCACCTCCTTCTCCTGCACTGGCATAGCGGAGAAGCTGAACAGTCCTTGACTGTCTTGGTAGCAACTATAAACATCAGTATGTTATCAGGCTTCTTCCCAGCACAAATCCAAAGCATAGCCTCACACTAGCTGCTATGAAGAAAGTTAACTCTGTCTCAGCTGAAACCAGGATACATATTTCTAAAAATTCGTATTATATGTCTCTTAAATTTCTTCCTCTTTGTAGAAATTTGAACCCAGTGTGAATATGTGCCAGCAGGGGCTGCTATCTTTTGAAGGATTTGCAAGGTAATTATCTATGTGTTAATTTGTATATATATATCTTAATGTATTAAAATGACACCAATGTACTGATGTTTGTATGAGTCACAAAATACTCAGCACAGCATAAAATTTCCTCACATCTTCTGACCTCTAGATTTTTGATGGATAAAGACAACTTTGCCTCCAAAAACGATGAGTCACAAGAGAATGCTGAGGACTTGCACTTTCCACTGTCATATTACTACATCGAATCTTCACACAATACTTACCTTACTGGCCATCAGCTTAAAGGGGAGTCCTCGGTAGAGCTCTACAGCCAGGTATGCAGGATTGGATCGTTGTGTAGTTTTCAACAGGAACTTGTTTGTTTAACTGGCAAGTCGCAGAAGCATGACCTTTTTGCTTTGAAAATCGAAATGTCCTAAACCCCTGCTTCCAAAACGTTGGAAAACATGATGTGTGGGAAAGCTGCCTGTAAGCACAAATGTCTTTTCTAAGGCAAAAAAAATGGTTTTAGTTTGAGATTCATAGCATTTAGACACCAGTCAGTCTGACCCAACCTACTAAAATTAGACTTTCCCACAGGAAAGACTGATCTAATACTTTAGTTCATTCAGATGTCAGAAAAACTAAAGTACTGCACGTTGCACTGCAATGACAAATTTCAAATGGAACTACAACTTCTGCAAACATTACTTCTAGGAATATTCTACAGTTTTTTAGACTTTATGCCTGATTGATGGTGAACAGGAAAAGAACAATTTCTCCCTAGGGCTTTTGGTTCTGTCTTTGTTTGTATATATATATATATGTGTGTGTATATATATATATGTATGTGTGTGTGTATATGTATTTACCAAATGCTAGAGAAAGCATCAAACTTCCTGTAAGTAGTGTTTTCATTACTCTAAATGTTAATGACTCACGCTAATGTTAATGAAGGGCTCATCTGGCATCCCACATGCTGCGTCACCTGGAGTTATAAGACAGAGGGGTGAGGCTGTGTTAGGAGAGGCTGAATGATGTGATGGCATTGAATAATGCAATTGCAAAGGAGGTTCCTGTAGTAGCACTGCAGAGTGTTGTGATTATTGTATTGGGAATAGATGGGAAGTGCGACAGAGCTCAGCTGGATCCAAAATTTGCATGATGCAGAAAAGCTTCTTCCTGTTCCTCAAGTAGTTGTTACCAGAAGAGAAGGGTCACTTTGTTCTGGCTCAGTGTGTCTAGTTCTCGGAGAAGTGGTTGTGTGCCAGCTATGGACAGAACTGCTTGAAATCTAGTTACTCAAGTTTTGAATAGAAGCAGTAATTTTTTTCTTAATCGATTTTTTTGCTGGAAATTATTTTGACTGTAGAGATCTCTGTTTTGAGTAAAATACTTAATTGTAATACAGATAACTCTTTCAATAATAGGCATGCTAAATATTGATAGCAATAACAAGCTGGGCTGCCAACAGATGAGTTAGTTTATCTTTCCCTCTGTCCTTCCTCTTTGCTTTCTTCAGTGTTTTTCTAGAAAGTAGGGCTTTCTAAAATAAATAAATGAAAAAATAAAAAATGGATGGATAGCCATTTATCATTATATCATTAAATATAAAAAATATTATTAAATAAGATGGCCGGCACATTTCCATTCTAATTATCTTCATGGAAGTTGTTCATAAGACATTATTTTCAGACCATCTTCTGTTAAAAAAACTAACAACAAAACCAAAAAGAACCAGCAAATAAACTGCAGATGCTATGCCTATAAGCTGTTCTGGTTGCAACCTGGAATAAATTGCCATGTTCCTTTATAGCTGCTTTTGCAGTTAGAAATATGGAAATGTTTCTCTCCTTCAGAACATTAAGCTACACATTAAGAACTACTTTCTGCAAAAAAGATTCCATGTGTCCTGTAAGATACCATGAATTTCAAAGCTTTATGGTACTTCGCCAAAGAATGTAAATGCTTTCTTAATTTTCCCACTCATAGAATCATAGAATCATAGAATGGTTTGGGTTGGAAAGGACCTTAGAGATCATCAAGTTCCAACCCCCCTGCCAACCTCCTTCTCAACCTAGGGGATTCAGTTAGCTGGGAACTGTAGCTTCTGTGGGCTATGTTTACTCTACGGAGATTGCTCATTCCAGCACTTTGCTGAACCAGTGGGGTTCTGTTTAGCTTTGCACTGTCTTGTTGTCTGCTTTGATGGCCCAAGACTGCGGCTCATACGTGCTTACACTGTTCAATTGCATTGTAGGTTCTTTTACAAGGCTGCAGAAGTGTAGAATTAGATTGCTGGGATGGAGATGATGGGATGCCTATCATTTATCATGGACACACTCTTACTACTAAGATCTCTTTTAAGGTATGCTGTTAATTGTACATGGAAACAAAAAATGAGAAGAAAATCAGTAACATTTCCTCTAATGAAGTAAAAAAAATTGCCTACTAGAAAAGTCCAAATCATAATGGACTAATAATCCTAACAGAATATGAACTGTGCACAATGTCAGACATGAACTCCTAAATTGTAAATGTTATGCTTTTCAGATTAGTTTTTGTAGCATATGTACTGTAACTTTCTGTCTTTTTATTGTCAAAATAAGTAGCTGTTACCATTTCTGTTGTAACAAGATGCTATGTTGATCTGTAGGAGCTTGTTTTGAAAGCAAATTGTGGATTCTTTCTTCTTAGGGGGGAAAACAGATGCCCTCTTTTCTTCCCTTTCAACTAAAAGTAAGTTAACTGAATGCTGCAAAATAATCACGTTCTTTCAATGACTTTGCTTTCTCACAGGAGGTAGTTGAAGCTATTGATCGCAATGCGTTTATCACTTCCGACATGCCAATTATCATATCAATAGAAAACCACTGTTCATTGCCTCAGCAACGCAAGATGGCTGAGATTTTCAAGGTAGGCCATAAATTGTGGTAAATTATTCTAAGCACATGCCCTGGGATTTTCCATAATATAATCACGTGTTCTCGATATTTCAGAATGTATTCGGAGATAAGCTGGTAACAAAGTTTTTATTTGAGAGTGACTTTTCTGATGATCCCATGCTTCCTTCACCTGCCCAACTGAAAAGAAAAATCCTGCTTAAAAACAAGAAGCTCAAAGCCCATCAAACACCAGTGGATATATTGAAACAAAAGGTAAAGTCCTTCCTTAATAGCAAGCAGTGAGACCTAACTTTTGTTAGCAGTAATTAATTTGTGGTGGAAGTTTTTGCCATTCCAATATGTATAGCAGAACGCTCTAATGCATGTTCATGCTTAAAAGTCTCACAGTGGATTGCAACACTTTCAGATAAGTAGACAAGACATACAGTAAAGTATAGTTACAGCATAACAAAATTTTAGTGTATTTTAGTTTTATAATAGTTCATAATATTATGATTAGCACTGTAGGCCCTATGTGCGAAACATAAATGAAGTTTCACTCTGAGGCTATAACATTTGCTATTCATGTTTGTTGAGAAGTAGTGATTCATATTCAAGCCAGGCAAATGCTTTCTTTCTTACTCTCTTTTTGGCAGGGACTCTGCTTTTCAAGTAGTGCTTGTACCTATATGAGAATTTTTTTTAATTCTAAAAGATTAGGGCTGCATCTCTGGTAGCTTCAATTTAATAACATCAGATTAGTCAGCAATTAGATTGAATCCTTGAAAACTAATTGCTTTTACCCAAAATGTAAACACAACTGAACTAGAATTGAATTCTTCTGTCAGAATAAGTATGTGTAAATCATACTGATCATACCAGTATGTGGACATTCTCCATCTTTTAAAAAAGTTTTAAACTGTTTCCAAAACAGCACACCCCAGACTGGAAAAAGGCAGTCTTGCTCTGACTAGTGTGCAAAGTGGACATTTTCCCATAATTAATCAGGTTTCATATCTTACTGGGTGTTTTTATACCAATACAAGTTGTTTTTTTTTTTATATTCAAACCCTTACAATGGTATTTTTAGCTTGATCTTACCAATCTTACTTCTCATCATACCTAGTCATTGCTTTCATATAAATAAGATGTAAACATTGACAATACATCATACATTGAAAATACTTACCAATAATGTAATCAGTGGTTCTGTTGCTTTAGGCACACCAGCTGGCACATATGCAAGCACAGGCTAGCAATGGTGCTAGCAACCCTGCCGCCAATGAAGAGGAAGAAGATGAAGAGGATGAATATGACTATGACTATGAGTCTCTCTCTGATGGTAACAATATGTTTATTTATTTATTACAGTGCTGTTGTTAGAACTGTAGCAATAAGGCATGTAAATATTTTAGTTCATGAATGATGTCAGTAAGTTGATCTTATCTTGTGAGAGGAAGATGTACTAAATGTCCTCGGTGGCACTTTGGTGCAGTAGGCTATAATACCGTGAAAATAATTTGATTGTGTAGAGGACTTGAGTGTGACTTTAACTCCAACCATTAGATGTTCTAACTGTGCAGTGCATCCTAAATTGTAGTCAGGAGAGATGGGGAGGCACTCTTTATCAGGGAGTGTAGTGATAGGACAAGGAGTGTAATGGGTATAAGCTGAAAGAGGGTAGATTTAGACTAGATACTACGAAGAAGTTTTTCACTGGGAGGGTGGTGAGGCACTGGAACAGGTTGCCCAGGGAAGCTGTGGATGCCCCATCCCTGGAGGTGTTCAAGGCCAGGCTGGATGAGGCTTTGAGCAACCTGGTCTAGTGGAGGGTGTCCCTGCCCATGGCAAGGGGGTTGGAACTTGATGATCTTTAAGGTCCTTTCCAACCCAAACCATTCTATGATTCTGTGATTCTATACTTTATATTATTTGTATTATGCAAAAAGATTGTGTTCATAGTGTGCTCTGTCTACATTTGCCTGTATTGTCTTTCCTAAGGAGTTTAGACACCTGAAAGCTCAAGATTCACAACAGGCTTAGCCCTTGCATCTGCATGACTGCTATTAAATTGACCTAGGATGCAGATTCTCCAAAGTCGTCCTTGGTTACTGTCTAATCCCAGAGACCCCTGAAGTGCCTATTTTAGGTATACTTTTCAGCATCAGCTGTTCACTTCATGTGTGAAGGTAGAGAAGCCACTGAGTCCCTGGTTGTTCAATAAAGATGTCTTTATTAAAGCTTTAGGTGCTCAGTGAAAAAATGGCATGCCTTACTGACTTGCCTTGTAAGTTCATGTGCTGTCTATGCTTCAGCTATGCTAGCTTTCAGGAACTGGCAGTTTAGCATAAATCCACCTTTAGGAGCAGTTTATAGACTGGAAATAATGATTGGCATGCCAGAGGTGATAAAAGATATTGCAGTTATAAACTTCCGTTACTTCCTTAGCTCTCCAGTTCAGTCAGACACATTTGATTTAACTATAGATGAAGGACAGAATGTGCCACACTGAGGCGACTGAGCTGACATCCTGCATCTTTTTTTGCTTCTCTTGTGGCGGGGCTGGTAGAGCAAACAGCTGGAATCAGCAGTTTTTAATCCTCTCAAGTTGTGTCAAAGGACAGTTTTCAAAACCTCCATGCGTGGATTGAACAAGCTGGATGCCTCTCATTATTTTTCATTGGTAATTTTCAGAGAATATATCAAAGTAGATCACTGTGTGTTTACCCAATGAGACAGCAATGATGGTACAAGTATATACCATCTGGGTAGTTCAATGCTGTACCATTGTTAAACTCCATAGATGGGTCACAAAACTGACCAAAGGGACAAAAAAGTTAGATTAATATTCAACAATTGTGGGTGTTGGGGTGGTGCAAGGGAAGTGTGTCGATGCTCTCTTTAAACAGCATCTCCTGTTGCCACTGTCAAAAAGAGAAAGCTGAGCTAAATGGACCATTGGTCTGACGCAGTTGGGTATGTTCTCCTAGGTAAAGTACTTCACTCATTGAACCTTTAAGCCTAATGGGTACCTGTTTAAGTTGTAGGTACCATGTCCAGTGAAGATGTAGGGCTCAACCATGCCCTGCAGCATAGGACTTCTTTCCAGTTGGTCTCTTATTTCCATTACTTACTTCTGTGTTTAATGATTTAAAAAACAGACACAAAATTAATGAATGAAGTTCATAATCTGACACTGCTTGTGGGATAGCAGTATTATTTATGCTGATATGAACATTTATGAGTTTGTGCTGGTGATGCCTTCAGTTGTGTTTTGCTAGAAAGTTGGCCTAACTGGCTACTTAAGAGTACTCCTTCTGTGGGACAGGGTGGAGACAGTGTAGATGTAAATTGCTGTGAAAACCTTAGATCTTTGTTAACACACTTGCCAGGAAAATATTGCAAGCTAACTGCAGTAAGTGATGTTTGAGCAATGTTCTGGTTAGGACAAGGTTTGAGAAATCTAAAGCTAGCAAGGAACATTCACACCTTCCAATATGTGAAGGAATCTGTGGCATGGTTTACTGCTGTTACAATGATGATTCTTTGGGGTCTTTAATTATGTTCATATTTTGGCAAAACTAATCTAAATAATGGTCTGTAAACTTTCTAAAAGATTTTCAGTTTTATTTTCCTTACTGATACATTAAATTTGCATAAGGCTAATAATTTTACAACTGACACTGAATTTTCATTTCTCTGTCTGTAAATCTTAATTTCCTTTACTCTTATTCCCTCTCTGACTCCATTTCCCTGTAGCTGATGTCCTTAGTGCTTCTCCTGCTCCTAACAGCCAGGAAGGTAAAGGCCATTTGGTTGAGCATTTTAACTGCATGAAATCCGCACTGCATCTCCAGCCTGTTAAATGTGACAGTGTGAATATATGGTTTTTACTTTGTATTAAAAATGAATCAGATATTCTTATAAGGTCAGGAACTGTTAGAAGGCTGCATGTGTGACACTGGTTATACAGAAAAAAAGAATATGGTCAAAGCATCAGGAATATCAGAAATTAAATGTATCCATTCCTTTTGTGACAGTTACAATATTTTGGTCCAGAAAGACCAAATTACTGGGTGTATTATTCTCAGATAAATATGTAGCTTTGAAGAAGAATTTCTATATCTGTAAAAAAATATTTCTTCATGGTGAATGTAAGGAGAGGAAAGCCAAAACTTGCTGTACAAAGATGTGTACATGTTTAATGTGGTTAATTGTGCTTGGACTTGAGCAATTCTTTGTTCATCAGGATTATCAATTGTTTTCAGATGTCAAGCTTAATTCGTTGGATGATTTTGTTTTAAGCATCTTCTGAGCACAAAAGGATAGTCTTTAAAAGAAGTGCAACATATTAACCAAAGCCAAGCCAAATTTTTGAGTAGAAAGTTACTACTAAAAGAGAATGCTTTGATCAGAAAATGCATTATTTTGGCATCTGGTTATTCAGATAAGATTCACAGGTTGTCCACAAATATTGTTAATTCAAATTAAATTTACATTGAAATTGTTTGGCTTTATGTTTATTAAAATCCCATTAATTTTTAGATAACATTCTTGAAGACCGACCTGAGAATAAATTATCAAGTGATAAACTGCAATTTGAGTATAATGAAGAGACTGCCAAACGAATAAAGAAGGCTGATTGTGCTACTTACAATAATAAAGGAAAGGTAGTTCTACTTTTTCCCCCATTTCTTCTCAGTCACACGTTGATATATAACCACCTTCAAAAGGATTTGAGCTGTTTAGGTATCCAAGACATCAGATGGCAGATGTGCTTTAATGAAGACAAATAGTAGAAAGCATGGAAATGCACCAGAGAAACTAGATTAAATATAATAAATGCTCAACACACTGTTAAAGAAAAGTCCTCAGAGTTTATTGTATATACAGGCTGTTTGGCTGAAAATTTTAGCTGTCGTCGTTTGCAGTGAAAGACTTCATTTGAGGCTAGATCCATAAATTTATTTAGATATCTAACTTCCATTTACATCAATGGAACTGAAGTTTTCTTCTGAATCTTCAGCATCTTTGTGTATCTAAATAACTTTAAAACACCATACTCTCATATCAGATAGCCACATTACCTTTTATTAAATCATCTGGCAACTGAACCAGTGTATTGCTGTTTAGTAAATTGTAGTTTCTTCTGAACACAGATGAGTTTTGTCTAAATGCTTGTAGAACTGACTCAGATTGAGGCCTTTGCATACTACCACAGTATCAGTAACAGGTATTGATGCATAAACCTGCACATGGAGATGTGTTAGGTGAAGACAGCAAACCGTATAGGAAGAATGAGATATAAAGGATTTTAAGGACATAAGTAAAGTATGCAAGAGTGCTTTCACATTCAGTTATTGTATTATTATATGTTCTTGGAATTGTCACTTAGGTTTACGATATGGAGCTGGGGGAAGAATTCTATCTTCCACAAAATAAGAAGGAAAGCAGACAGATAGCCCCAGAGCTATCAGATCTTGTCATTTACTGTCAAGCTGTAAAGTTCCCCGGTAAGTACACTGCCCAGTTTTACTGATTTAAACTTTCTAATTCTTGGAGACATGTTTATGTTTTGAATTAGTTAGTACAAGTTTTTTCAAATTGAAGTAGTCAAGGAGCTTTTTTCTTGATGATTTGGTAGTCTACATAATAATAGCTCCTGGCAGAGAAGTAGTATACATGGATTACGTGAAGACATATTGTTTGTCATATTAAAATGTTTACAAAAGCGAAATTTGCCAGTCTTCACAACTTAGACAACTGCTTCATTGCCAAATGACAGATGACAGAAAGCTTTATCTTAAGAACTCCGAGTTTCCATGTAAGGACCTACTGAATTAGAAAGAAAAATATTCTTAAAACCTTTCAGGAAAAGCTTGTCACATTTCTTTAAGTGACATCGGTTTAGTGTGCTTCACCTTTTCCTACAGCTGCATCTTCTGTTCTTTCCTAAGTGGATAGGACAGGAGCCATTTTGGGGGTGAAATGGCCTTTTCATGGGAGCAGGTGACTGCATGCTCACACACACACTTTATAGAAGGGGTTAAGGAAATTGGAGGATCTTCTTTTGTACAGTAGGGAGAATAATGTTTGCAGAGCAAAAGGAGAGGGAGTAACTGAAGAGGAGATCACTGATAGGTACTTATTCAGTACTGAAATGTAAGGTTGAGTATGTTTTGGCTCATGCTGTGTACATAAATTCTTTTAAATTGAGAATTTATTGTTTATTGATGTGTTTAATGTTTTGCTCGAAAAATCAGCTTTTTAATGGAATGGTTCTCTGTGGAAAAGTTAGCAATTCTGCCAAATCATGATCTTACACAAATAGAACTATAATCAGGTTAGAGAAGCTAACCAAACATAAAATAGTGTCAAACAGGCAAGATAAACATGCTAAAAAATGGAGAGACTTTTTTTATAATTTTCTATAACTTTAAAAATTGTAGGTGTCAATTGTAACATCAATAACTGCTAAAAATTCAAATCTGATCCTCTCTTTAATAAAATCTGCAAAAAGATATATTTCAAATAAAATATTTTCTTTTCAAGAATGATATTCAAGATTAAGCAGACATAGTATCAGTTGTTCCAAGCACTTTGACACACAAAGAAGTTCTGATGTTCTAAGAAAACTTTGAAATATTTCAGGATTTTGATGCAATATCATTCTAAGAAATAGCAGCTTTCCTTATCTGATTTCTTCTCTTGCTTTAAAGAGGACATGAATGGGACAATTAAAAAAATGAGTTCCTTTCAGAGATGAACACATGACGCTGTAGAAATTAGTTTTCCAACAAACTTTGTCTCCTTTGAGACAAATGCTGCCTTCTCTGCAAGATCTGTGGTCTTCTATGGCCACCGTGCTGCTGGTCCATTAATAACGACAACAAGGCTGGCAGATTCATGACTATGTAGCTCTATTGACCGGATTCCTAACCAACTCAGAAAATGCAAGAGTTTTGGAGACAGAGAGGGCAGAATTCATGTCAGTGGCTGATCAATGGTGTAAAGACTTTATTTCCCATCTTCATATATTTTTATTCTGTGTTTACAGTTGCCTATGTCTCTGAATGTTTATCACAGATTTGTGACTATAAAAAAGGACAAGGACCATTATGTTCGCTTAGCCTACTGAGTAACACAGACTTCCTTAAGTGCTCCCTGGTCAAAACAGAATTTATCATGTGGAGAGAATAACATTTCTTGTTTGTAAAATCTCTGGTAACAAGGAACCCATCACAGCTCTTGTTGTTTCAGTGGTTGTTTACAGTCCTTGCTTAACTTCAGTCTGTCATCATACCATTGGATAAAATCATACCATTATCTAAGAGGGTGAAGGTCTGTTCTTTTGGGTCACCCAAGATGAGGGCAGTGAAGCATACTTGAATGTGGTACTGCTATAACTCACTGGCACATGGCTCATTGTCTTGGTGCTGAGGAGCCTTATACAATGAGTAGAGAAAGTTGAGTATATAAAAACAGGATCTGCACAATCAAATGTGGAGAGCAAGGAGTTACCTCAGCTAACCAGCATGAAATTCAGTCACCGTCTCCACTGTATCAGACTATCTGCCACTGTGGTATCAGTTTTCAAGCAATTTAAGTGAACATAAAAAAGGGCACCCTATAAAAGTACCATAAATTATTTTTCAAGGTCTGCAGACCTGCAGACTAACTGGCTGTTGGTCTGAAGCACACGGTGAGAAGGTGACAGTTACAGTTTAACCTGTTACTTTAGCATGGTTAGAATAAGAAGGGCAAAGAAGTTTGCTATCCTCTGGATTAAAAATCTAAAAGCAGTATAGCAATGTGGTTATATCTAACACGAGATATGGGTGTTAAGTTCTGTAACTCAAAGGATATAGCATAGGGATTTAATACAAAACATTTTCTCTGTCATTATGGTAGTATGATGGGATCTCTGTGCAGTCTGGTGGGATCTAAGCTGGTCGTGCTTTCACCAGAGGGTTGGACCAGGTGACTTCCAGGTCCTTGCCAACGTCCATTATTTTATTAATTCATGATTCTATGAATAGGTCATGCTCTATTTTGGAGTCAAGTTTAAAAAGGAGTGAAAAATGGAGCTTGCCTCTGGGAGGAGGCATGTCAAGTGCAAAGCACAGCCATGGGAAAGGCTGAAAGTAAACTCCCAGCTGCAGTTTACCCTGTGGCCATCACACTGGGTTCCTTTAACCCTGGTGTTTTGCATTGCACTCTCTGGTGATTTATGAGGTTACTCTGTTTCCTCAGTGACTGTCTCCACAACAGGATTTTGAAACCTGTATCTTGCTTGCCAAACCCATTTGATCCATTGAAAACTGGGATTAAATAGTACTGGAAGCACACAGTGCATAACTCCTCATTCTTCTAGTCGGTTCATATTCCTTCATCTCAGCTTCTACCATCTTCTGTGGTTTATGTGTATGCTTTGGCCCAAAGAGACAGTACGTCTCCAATGCTGAAAACATTTATGTATATCCTAAATTTTACTAACCCAAGCAGTTCCATTGAAACGATCTGCGTAATTTTACTAAGGACATGTAGACATGCTGTAAAGATTGAGAGCTGAACATTTACATCTGTGAACAGACTTCAGTGGAAGAGAGTCCAGTGTATTCTGTGATTTACATTTGTAGTTGAAATATTAGTATTAAATCCAGAACTGTCTTTAGGCAGGTGTGAATTGATGTGAGTTCATGAGGGTTGTTTCGTAAGTTGCAGTTAGGCAAATAACAGTGTACTTGCTTTGTTATATTTTATATCACACATATGGTCTCTGAGAGCATCCCCCACCTCACTGCTGTGGGTGTCAGAATAATTATCGTGTGTTTTGACTTACTTTAATTTTGGTCTGCTGCGTGCTCTCTCTAAGTCAACAGAAGGAAACTGACCTTATGGAGGATTAAGTCTGTCTACTTCACTGGGATTTAGATCATGATTTTAATGATTATTTTGCTGGAATGCATATGTTTAAATAATAGCTATACTAGAGCTTTCCAGCTCCACTTCTAGTGCATATTGGCCATTAAATGCTTAAAGGATTTTGCACACCTACCATATTTCCCATCATTGAAATACAAATTTTAAACAGAAGATGATACCTCTGAAAACATCTTGTTAAACCAACAGGATTTGGGCTTTTTCCTTTACATTGTATCTTTAAATCATATTTTTGCATTTATTCAATTATATAGGTATGATATCCTAGATGAATTCCATTCTATTCACTACTGTACAGATTTATTGCTTCTGTAGGAAGGATTTTTTTAAAGATTTTTCTAAGAATGAATACATCAGGACTGTTATTGCAGAATTTTTTGATATTAATTAGGACCACTCTGTAATTTGAGACAGAGCCACCTTCCTCAAGCCAAAAAGTAAAATGGGGAAAAGTTACATCGCAGAGAGATAACTTTATATACGTTTTTATATACATTATATATGTAAACATACATAATATATACATATATAAAAGCACAATTTAAAATTAAATTGTGGAGAAAAATATACTGCTTGCCCTGTGTACTATATAACAGGAGTATTCATGCCTTCAAAAATAATGTGAAATATGATGGAAAATGTCATGCCCTCTTGGTCATGTTTTTTGGCTCATTTATTTTACATTTATGGGAACAGGCTTGTCAACTCTAAACCCATCTGGCTCTAGCAGAGGAAAAGAACGAAAAAGCAGGAAGTCCATTTTTGGCAACAATCCTGGCAGGCTGAGCCCTGGGGAGTCAACTACTCTTGCCAAAGCATCTGGAAAAGGTAAAGTTAGCATCTTCTTTCACCAGTCACTTGGAATGACTCTGTATTCCAACACATGTACCAGACCAAGTTGTTAAAGATCAAATACTTTACAATGTGTAAGATGTTGAACTTTGGAATGGTTTTTCTTTAGCGCAGCAGCTATTACAGTAACACTATTATGAGTGAAATGTTGAGTGTGGAATGTTAAAATAGGATTACTTAGGAATATGAAGACCCTAATTCATAAACGATTTGAAACTAAAATATTTTAAGTCATGTATCTTAAAGTTTGTATTTTTAAAGGTATGAATGAATGTTTTCAAAGTAAAAATGGAAGGCAGAACTGTTGGGCTATATCCAGAAAAGGATTTGTAGTGTCTGAAGCAGGACTTAGCTGCCTAAAATTCAGCCAAGTCTAAACATGTAATCATGCAAACTTCCATTTTCTACCTTGGAGGTATTTAGACTCTCCAGGTGATTCAGTTTGCCTCCTTTCCTCATGTAAAATGTATAAATGAGAAGAATTAAATTTTATTCAGGCAAATGCCACTGAAGTATTTATTTATGAAAATGGTTGTTAGCACATCTAACCACAGTATCATTTCAATACTTAAACATTATGTTTCCTCTCATGAATTGTTTTTACTGTATAAGAATGAATGCAATACTTAGTAGTGTCATTTTCCAGGCTCACCTTTTCTACTATAACCAAAGCAGGGACAATTACTTCACTAGAAAACATTGAATTCTTGGAGTCTCTGGATCTGCAGCTATAACTTGAAAGTACTGTTTATTTTCCAGGTCCTTTGGATGCGATGAGGCAGACCTGGGAAGATCCTTGCTCTCCTTATAACTCTCCAGCTTCTCTCAGTGCTATCATAAGGACACCCAAGTGCTATCATATCTCCTCCCTGAACGAGAATGCGGCCAAGCGGCTGTGCAGGCGGTACTCTCAGAAGCTGATCCAGCATACCACCTGTCAGCTCCTGAGGACCTACCCCGCTGCCACGCGCATTGACTCCTCAAATCCCCATCCACTGATCTTCTGGCTCCATGGCGTACAGCTTGTGGCTCTTAACTATCAAACAGATGGTATGCATACATGAACACACATTGTAATACATTTTAAATGTGAAATAAGTCGTTAAACTTTGAATTTGTATTTGACGTTTGCTTTTACTTGCTCGCCGAAGAGGATGTACCTGTCTCTGCACCCCAGCGCAAGCAGGTTCATACATGACAGTCTGGTTCTTGGGAGTAGTGATCTGAGAGTCCAGGAGCTTTATGCCAATGCTGAAGATCTCCCTATACCACAGAAGTACCTAGACAGCAACACCTTCCATTTTTATTTTTACTTTATTGCTGAAGGTGGTTTTTTTTTTCCCCAAATCAAGTAGCTCTTATGCCTTTCTGGTAATTTCAAGTATAAAAAGGTACTGAACTATTTTCTATTTAAAGTGCCACCTTAGATCCTGGTTTAATGTTGATCAGAACAGTTTTGGGACATTTTCTATCCTATCTTGTGTTCCTTCACCTTTTCGGTGGAGGATCCATTAGGTTATCTCATCTACAAAGGTACACAGTCAATGCTTTTTTATCCTGCAGTTCAGGGCAAATACCTAGAACTTCTCAGAATAGGCAAGCCCTACAGTTGCATACAGACAACGGAAGGGGATAGAAAAGAATTAATTGTTCCTATAGTCTTGTATGATTAAGTATTGGATAGATTGGATACAAAAATCACAGGTATTTTTGAAAACCAAGAATGAATTGTTAATACACAACTAAAATTTTTTAAAAATAGATACTTAAAATATGTCCTTGTCTTCACTGTTGCAGTTTTTCCATTGTACCATTGCTCTTTGTCAGTTTTGGCTGCCTTACTTTCACAGATCTTCCTCTGCAACTTAATGCAGCGATGTTTGAGGCTAATGGTGGCTGTGGATATGTTTTGAAACCTCCTGTTCTCTGGGATAAAAATTGTTCCATGTACCAGCAGTTTTGTCCATTAGAAAGAGATCTTGATAATAAGGAGCCAGTTATATATTCTTTAACAGTAAGTACATCAAATGGGAGTTTAATATAACCAAACAAATAGAAGTAGACAACATTTAACTGTAACCAGCATTAGTCATGCTTCTGTGTGAAAAAATTGAACCTTTAACTGTTGCTTGTACTTCTGAAGGTCAGCACAACTAAAATAAACTGAATAAACTGAAGAGGGAAGGAGCAAATAATCATGTTTCTTTTATTTTATTGGCTGCTTTGTATCCACAGTTACTTTCACTGTTCCCTTCACAATATTTGTCGAAAACCACTCCTGAAAGCATTTTCCCTGGGACTACACAACTTTGTAAAATTATATGTGTGCCTGGATGTTTCACATGTTTGTGAACACTTAAGAATCTACACAAAAAGCCATTATGAAAAGCTGTACTGAATATTAAAAGCATGTTTTTAAAAAATTATATAATAAGATATATAATTCATGGATTTATGGCCAAAAAAGAGAAGTATTCTAAGAAGCTAGTCCCTTCGAGGAAATGTTTCAGAAAAGTGAGATTCAGAAGAATCAAAATTCTCCCAGCTGTGGTAACTTCACACCTAATTCTTGTGTTGTGTATGCCAAAGCAAGCCAGAGGTCAGTGCCATCACCCCAGAGTAATGGAGAAGAAAATTCGATCCTTTTTGACTACGTTACTAGTACATTCCTTCTGGATTAACTTTCAGATGCCTTGAATGGTTACACTCATGATGTATAGCGTATTTTTTTCAGAGGAAAGATACCGTAGCAACGGCATGGTGGGGGCTGAAGCAGCTCTGCCTCTGAAATTACTGCCCTGGCAATTACAGAAGTAGGGGAGCATTGTAATTAAATCAGCATGTTAACAAACTGTGCTTAGAAATGTGATAAACAATACTTAGCTCAGAATCGTGACAGTAAAAGAGTTACTCTGCTAATTGGTTCCTCTGTGTACTCCTTGGCTTCAGATTGTGTCTGGACAGAATGTCTGCCCTAGCAATAGCACAGGCAGTCCGTGCATTGAAATTGATGTGCTGGGGATGCCTCTGGATAGCTGCCATTTCCGGACAAAGCCCATTCATCGCAACACTCTCAACCCCATGTGGAATGAACAATTCCTTTTCCGGGTTCACTTTGAAGATCTGGTCTTTCTTCGGTTCGCAGTTGTTGAAAATAACAGCTCAGCTGTAACAGCTCAGAGAATCATTCCCCTAAAAGCTCTAAAAAGAGGTACAGTATAGTTTGTAATGATAACCTGTGCCAAAATCGTCCAGCAGATTCCTGGACTGAATCCTGCCAGAGGGATATTTTTAATCAACTGGCTGCTTTTTTCTAGAGGAGACAGGGAACAAATATCAGACAACATACTTTGCCCTGGCAGTACAATGCTGATTTCATTGGCTCCCTGGGAGCTCGAGTCTGCCCCAGTGTCATGTAAAAAGTCAGATCTTGTGCTGTTGCAGAGACTGGGGCATACTGTACGCAGCTGCTCTGCTCCTGAGCTGTGTGGCTGTGAGGTTGTGTTCACCTTGAGACTTGCTGCTCCCTTAGGAAGCATGGAGTGGTTTCACTCCTTGCCTTGTCCTTTGCCCAAGAAAATGCTGAAACTGGTGATCACTGGGCAGAGGGGAATTGTACTTCTTGCCACCATGGCTGGAGGAGATGTGAAGGAAGGGTGAAAAAAGGTGAGAGAGAGATTAAGAAGCATCGTTAATTCTGTGACACCTGGCAGAGGCCATTTCCATATTGCCAGCAGCTCTTCAGCAGAATGATAAAAATACTTTCACATTTACTTCACGCCAGTGTAATATCACAACACAGTCATAGCCTATGAGATCTGGCCATAGACATGCATTTTCCCAGTGAGAATTTGCCCTTGTTTCATTCATATTCTAGTATTTAGCTATTTCTTGTGTGAATATATTGAATATTATGGCAGAACAAAGGTAGGCAGCTATATGAGCCACTCAGCAGTTCATAGCGTTTAGGTTACACTGTTGTACAGACAAAGAGTGTTAATGCAGTGTTACTACAGTGCTTTAAATCCTATAGGTGTGGCAAATTGTAGCTTTAAATATGCCAAATTTGAGTCTTCCATTTATAAGACTTGTGTCCCGGGATGTGGCAAAATACTTATAGCAGCGTTTTTTTTCTCTCTAGGTTATAGACACGTCCAGCTCCATAACCTGCACAATGAAGCATTAGAAATTTCTAGTTTGTTCATAAACAGTCGGAGAATGGAAGAAAGTCCCTCTGGAAACACTCTGCCTACATCTGTGGTAATTATATTTTTGTGAATGCCATGTATTCTTGTCTTAATGACTACTATGGTCTGAAGACAACAGAACCACTGTTTAAAGATGTTAGCCCCTAAAGCTGCACATTTTTCAGAAGTACTTCAATGCCCAGTCCTTTTGTGCTTTGGTGGAAGTAAGGTTCTCCTACCTGGCTGACACTGTGGGAGGGTCATTCTTTTAAAATTTGGCTTTTGGTGTATTTAGGTACATCACGAGGACTCCTATGCTGCAGGAGTGTGTCTGAACAGTAAGGATCAGAGCTGCCTCATGCATTCCTTTATGCATGAATCGTAAGCAGTGCATTTGGGACAAAAAAAGAAAGATGCAAATTACCAACAACTTTGGAATAATGAGAGCAAAATTTAGTTCTATTACAGGAAAAGATGGCATCTGTATTTGCATAAATACATATTTATATATGCGTGTGTGCACATCTATGCTTGTATGTACAAATTTGTATACGTACACACAATTGTGTGTATAATATATATAAATATATATCTATGTATGCATGTATGGATGTGATGTATTTTTTTTTAAATAGCCCTTAATGTTAGCTTACCTGGGTTACTTGTGTTAGTAACTTTAAGCATGTATATTATCCTTTTGGTGATTCTTAAAATGTTAGATAAAATCTTCTGAGCTACTGTGTGTGCAGCAGATGTGTTCCAGACATTGTCCTCCTGTAAACACATGCTGAACATCTGTCTTGGTGAGTTACACCAATTTAGGCAGAAAGGAAGAACAGAAATGGTGTGGAGGGTAAAACGAAGCTATAGATTTTCATCCAGTAATTTGTACGTTGAATCCAAATAGTCAGAACTCATCTAGAATGCAGATGGTGAGCAACAGAGATCTACCCTTTTTCAGTGGCAGTTTATGTACTCTTACTGGAAAACTCCCTTTTTCTTCTTTTTCTTCAGCTTCAAGGTAGGATGGGGCCTTCTGGGGGGAAACGTTTGTTGGGGTTTTGTTAATGTCTTGATCTACAGTGTAAAAGCCATGCATCAGCTGGATAGCTTTGCTCTTTCAAGGTCCGTACAACTTGTGTGTACAGTTTCTTTTAAGCAACCTAAAAATAACATGCCTGTGTAAAAACATTCAGTAACCTGTTGAATGTTGTCTTACAGTTGTTTAGCACGGGGGAAAGGAAAGCTGCTGTGAATTACAAAGTGACAATTCATGGAATTCCAGGCCTGGAGCCTTTCACTGTTTTTAACGTAAGTGGGGGGACCACGGCTGCACAGCTTCTCCATCAGGTAAGTTGGCCACAGAATTGAGGACTAATTGCAAGAATCCACACTAACATCAATCTGGACATTGATCTCCATGCATTCCTCATGTGCAGGGTCACTGTAGTTCATTCATCCCAGCAAAAAGGTGCTTTAGAAATGTATTACTATGGAGTTAATTGTGTTGCAAACACAGACTATCAGTGCAATTTTCCTAATCTTGGCTTCAGAGAATGGGTTATAATCTTAGAACATATTCCTTGTCAGTATTTTAATATTTGGGCATATGCAGATGAGAAACCAATCTTTCGGACCTGACAGAGGCAGTGGGCTGCCCTTACAGCAAGGGCAAACATTTCTGTGCAATTCTTTGAACTTGAGCACCACAGGAACACAGAGTAAAAGTTACAGGGCTAAGTTCATGAGTAGAAAAACCAGTTAACTCAACAGGGATTGTTATTCTAGCAGTGGGAAAAGACTGTACTGTCCTGGGATTATGAATAAATTATCTGGTCAGCCAAACAGGACAGAAATAAGCTCAAATAGTACTGCCTTGTCTGGAATAGTTGAACTGCTTGGCTAGGCTAAAGAGAGCAGTACATTACCCTGGAGTAAAATATCTGAATAATAAATAGCACATCAGAAATCTTGCCTATGCTATCAGAATAGTTATTGATTCTTAAAGTTTCTTTATTCATTCTCATTTATAACTACTAATTATGCAGTGTTTATATTTAGCATTCTAATTGCTTTGTGTTTATTGTGGTCTGTCTTAGCTCTTGGCTACAACGAAAGGCACAGAGTCATGTGCTCCAGACTATTTTCTGATGGAAGAGAAAAGTTTTATATCTAAAGAAAAGAGTGAATGCAGAAAACCACCATTCCAGAGAGTAATTGGTCCTGAAGAAGGGCTAGTGCAGCTTTTGAACAGTTGGTTCCCAGAAGAAGGATATGTTGGAAGGATTATCTTTAAAACTTGTGAAGAAGTAAGTCTGTTTTGGATAAATTGTTATTTACAAAGGTAGCTAAAAATAGCTGTTAGGAGCAGGAAACAAAAGGATGCAGTGTTTGTTTTACTACTTGGTGAGTAATGTCAATGCTGTGTACATCATTTAAACCCAAATATAACTTTTGAGTGAGCACAACTAGACTTTATACACCTGTGCAACGCTAACTTGACTTCAGCCAGCTCTAGGATCAGCTATGTGGTGTTTAATTATCACTTACTCAACAGCTCAATGCCATCTCACTGTTTTGATAGATAGTTCTAATTTAATGTAAATCTAGATTCTTGACATGATAGGAAATTAATATAAAGAAGGATAATAGTTAATACCACAGGATCATAGATAACAGAACACCAGACTCCAATTACCAATCAGTTTAGGTGTCAGCAACTTCCTCTCTGTTCAGAAAAATTAGAAAAATTTTAATGTTAAAGAACTCTAAAAACCTCAAAGGATGATAAAATTATCAATGACAGCTTAAAGTAATGAAATAGTGATTTCTTTTAATTTAAAACAGGAAGATGGAGCAATTACTTCAGTTTAAACTATGAGCAAAACATACACAGCTTGAAAATATGCTACTGCCCAGGCTTGTGAGAGAAACAAAAAAGCAGGAGAAAGACACTTAATGATCTAACTTTCAGAGGCACTTCCTTTGGTCAGTTCAGCATATAATAATGCTTGCTTAGCCTGAACATAGCAATATGTGTACACGTATATTTATATGCACAGATTTTACATACACGATTGACAGAAATCCTCTGGGAACATTTAAAATGAAAAAAATATTTTTTAACTGATTATTTGGAAACAACTTTTGATAAAGCTCCAATTTGTCAAATTACTATTGTATTACACAAATCAGTGTTTTGTTTTCCTCTATTTCTAATATTTGCAGCAAAAATTACTAGGTGGGAATTTGTCTGTTGAAATGGTAGCCTAGCATTCAGTTGTGACTGCAACACTTTGTAAGTGTATGCGACCACAAATGTGTCACCGCCAAACCCCATTCTTTCAGAAAACATGGATTAAAATCTGTCCTAGCGTATGTGAAAATTACGCTGTAGTTTTGCCCTGTCATGCTACTACCTCAAAGCATTATCTGTAATTTTGAGCCTTTCTGCAGATAGCAGCCTCAGATCTTGGAGCTAGAAATCAAGCTGCAAATCTACATGGAAAAAACAAGGTCCACTTGTAGGGTGTGATACACAGCCCATGTTTACAGCTTAGGATTTCAAGCTATGATACAAGGGGTTGAAGAGAAATACATTATCTGAGAGAAGGAGCAGCAAGGAATTCTGTCTAAAATATGTAGCAGTCATAGAGCCTGAAAAAGGACAGAGAAGCAGCCTTCTTGCTCTACAGGAACATGCTCATTGAGACTTCTTGCTTTGTAAATTCTTGTGGTTTTAGTGCAGGAGCAAGGAGAGAAAAGGAAATTTTCCACCATTTCCCATCTTAATGCCACCATTACATGACAACACATAATTTTGCATACATAAGGAAATAAAGGACTAAGCAATCATTTCTGGATAATGTAGTACTATGCATGTATCACCAGTCCTTGCCTACTATGAAAGGTATTTCAGACACCAGTTTTAGAGACACAGGTATTTACTGTGTTATTAATAAGCAATAGTGTCTTGTTAAAACTCTTATATAGCAGACTTGGATTTAATGAAATAGAGCTGGGGCAGGAGTCTCCAATTTCCATGTGATAAAAATCTTTGTGACCACCAGCTCTTGGTTGCCTCTCTGAAGTAAATTAATTTGCCTCTACTTTTTTCTACAGAATTTAAACGAGAGAAACGTCTTTCAAGAAGCAAAGGAAGATGCAGCCATCAGCTCTGAGGATGACAGCTTCTTTGTTCAGGTACATGATGTCTCCCCAGAGCAACCACGCACTGTCATCAAAGCTCCCCGCTTCAGCACAGCTCAGGATGTCATACAGCAGGTAAGCAGCACGGTTCCGTTTAGTAGATCTGTAGAATGTAGGGTGGAGGTTGGTTTCACACACAATAAGGTAGAGTTTGTTCTCAGCACTAGCTGAGCAATTGATTTAGTTACCTGAATCTGAGAGAATGCCTTATCTTTTGCCTTTTTTTCTGCTTTTAAACAGACTCTTTGCAAAGCCAAATACTCCTACAGCATTTTGAGCAATCCAAATCCAAGTGATTATGTGCTCTTGGAAGAGGTGACAAAAGAGCCAGCAAACAAGAAGTCCTCAACATCTAAACCATCTCAGAGGATCCTCTCTGATCAAGAGTGTGTGTTTCAGGCCCAAAGCAAGTGGAAGGGAGCAGGAAAATTCATCCTTAAACTCAAAGAACAGGTTCAGGTAAAAGACTAAATATTTTGCAGCAGGTTTTATAGATGGTATATGATCAGCTTAATGGGAATCTACTTGCAATGGGAGGGAGACACAACTGGCATGAGGCTGGGATAAGGGACTACAGCAAAAAGCAGATTCCTCTTTTCTCCGCATGTCCCTTAGTTTTTTCTTTGCAAAACTGCATCAGCAATGCAATTCCCTTACAGCCTGCAAATCTCATGACAACCTTTATCTTTTGCTACCAGCTTTGTGTTTTTTAAAATTTGGCTGTGCATGCCATGTTCCCAGGACTATTCAAGTGGACAGAACTTAAAAACTCCTGGAATAAAGTCCCTTTATTCCAGCCCAGTGAAAAAGTTGTTGCTTTATCTCAGGCTCTGGAAAATGGCAGGAATAAAGTACATGCCTGCTGGGAGGAGGAGCTGTGTTCTCCTTTACAGCCAATGCCACCAATCCACAGAAGTTGTTGCTTTAAAGTAACTGTGTCATAAGCGCAGATTTTTATATAAGTTTATACCAAATCTGCTGAACGTATCTTTGACAATGCATAATTTTTAATTAATTTCTTCAGAACAATCAGAAGTGTGCCTGGCTATGAAAGCACAGCCACACTGAATTTCAAAAGGCAGGCCTATTTAGAAATATGTTAGGTGGTTTCATATTAATTCCATACTTCACAGCTAACAAATAGCCTGTTAAACCACTTCTGTGATCTGATTTTTTTTTTTTTTACAGGCAGCACGGGATGACAAAAGAAAGGGCATTTCCTTTACCAGTGAACTGAAGAAGTTAACCAAGTCAAGTAAGCAGTATCGGGGATTCATATCGCCACCTCTGCAGGTCTTGCCAGACAGTCCACAGAGCAAGGATGAAAGGTCTGCGTGCAGTCTGACTTTTAGTGACATAATGGAATAATCACCACCACTGCCTACAGTATGGTCTGTTCAGGTACGAGATATTGATTCTAACTCTGAGCAATAATTTAATACAAAATTTACAGAGTATCTTTTTCAAAGTTAAAGTTGGTTAAACCATAGTGAGGTACGAGGGACCGACAAAAAGATCTTAGACATTGGTGTGCATAGGCACAATAAGATCAGGAAGGTCTCCAGTGATTTATTATGGCATTTGCTAGCGTGAGTCAGAATGGTGTGAAGACTGAAGTTTCACTTTGCCAATTTAAAAAACAAAACCAAAATGTTGCATCCTGGTTGATTTTGTAGTATGCATTTTAATCTACTAACTGTGCTTAACAATATCCTGTTAGTGTTTTGCTCTGGGCCAAAGTAAATATCCAGTATTTAAATATCCAGTATCCAGTAGAGCTTTTGTTGTTTTTTATTACACGCATATAATAAAACCACTGGGACTGACAATCTCCTTTTTAGCTAAAACAAGTTAATAGTGTTAATTTGCCAGAAATGTTTAAACATTTTTATTCTACTTTCTGTATCTCTTCAATTTTTCCCATCTTGCTTGACTTAAAACAACAAATGAAATACGCAAGGTAAGACTGTCCCATTTATATGAAGACAGTATATGTATCTTGCCCACCACTGTACACTAACCAGATATTTGCATAGTGCTACTACAGCACTGAGATGGCACCTGAGAAGTCAGAGGTCATTGTAAAAGAATAAATCTCAGTGTTGATAAGCCCATCTCACACATGACCAATATTACATTTTTCTTTCAACATACACCTAATTATTAAAGCATTACTTGGCATGCACTGTCATACTACTGCTAAATCATTATATTAACATAATTCAAATAATATTTTCTTTCATTTGTAAAATAATTCAAATATGATGGGACAACATCTTATTTCTAGGCTACTATAAAAACCCTAAACCACACAAACAATCTGAATTCAAGAAAAGCAAAGTAAATTACAGAAAGATCCCAGTCACATTCACTCTTCTTCTGCATTTGTTCTTTCATTTTTTTGAAAACTGGAATTTACGTCACTGAATCCTTCTGTGGTGCCTTTGAAGGAACCTGCTGTGGTCTGAACTGGTCAGCAATTGTGCCCTGGGCTGTAGGTGCTTAATCCACGCAATGCTGCTGGATTAACATCCATATTCTGGGAATCCTAAATGGGATGTCGTAGATTGGAAAAGATGCCTGTCAGCTATCAGAAGATTCTTCTTTTCCTGTATCTTCACAACTGCAGATCTCTATAGGCGGGTGAAGAAGTTTTCTGGGACTGTATGTTGTAAACAAACACATGTTGTCATCCTCCCATTTTTAAACAAGCTAAGTTTAGCTAATTGCCTCTAGGGAAACTGAAGGCAGGAAACCAGTGTTCTTTGATGTGTATTATATTAAAGTAATGCACTTTTACCTGAAGATTTCTGTTAAACACTGTGTTAAGTGATTGTAAAGAGATTTAAATATACTGTAACTTCCTTGACGTATCTGTTTAACTTTGGTGAATATACACAAAATGCTCGAATTATTTATAGTTTATCTACTTTAACAAAATAATGTACAATAGCTAAATACACCTAACTGGTAGTGATACTTTGACAAGGAACAACACCTTCTTCTTATAAATTCTAGTTTTCCAGGCTTATGTTTAAAGAAATATTTATTACCATGTTCCAAAATACATGCCATTGTATAATGTATTTATCATATACTACTTCTTAGAAAATGCAGCTTTTTACCTCGCTCTGGATTTAGAAAAAAAAAAAATTTGAACTTTTGTTTGTTTCTTTCCCACACAAGATCTTAATACCCAAAACTGACCAAACTCAAATGCATTTATAAATGTAATTAACATTTCAAAATTCTGAATTCAAAATACATTTTTCCATACAGTCAGGAAATGTTTTTTTACTTGTCTGTTGAACCCAGAGAGTGTAAAGAACTCTTACACTATAACTTTTGACATTTTTGTTTACAAAGAAACACTGTTGTAAGGTGTTACGTTTGCTAAATTCATCTTTTGATATTTAAGTTAGTTGTGGTTGTCTCTTTTTTTTCCTCCGTGGGAGTTATTAATGTGCTTAGTTAATTAAAGCAATCCATACCATCTTACAGCGGCACAAATGAAACAATTGCTGCCATCAGTCATTCCTTTGATTTCCCAAATTAATAGTATTTGTGGTGAATAAATTGCTCTGCAAAAGTTTTGTCTCCCTAGAGCAATCCCTAAACAAAGCATTTCAGTTATCTTGCATGACTAACTCAAGAAATCCGTGAATACAGGAGTGATTCATGCACTCAGTTATTCCACATCAGCTTCAGCACTCAAGCACAAAAAGCTTCTACTCCTAAGAGAGAAGGTGCATCAGGCAAAGGATAAAACAGCAGTGTAACTAAAATGAGGTTTACTTGTGACAGGGCAAGGACAAAAGGGAAAGAAGTTCCAGGCAGTCGTCTTGTGACAACCAAACCCTGTATCGTTTCCCCCACCCCAATAATGAGAAATTGAAATAAAAGAAAGCCAAGTCATTAATTCACATATAAACAAGCAGAAAGAACCTGCATTGTCACCAGAAGCTATTAAGTCTTTCACTATATAGTATAGAAAAATTCCTCTGAAGTAGTTATTACCAAACCAAAAAGTGCCCTCTTGAGGTCATTTCCATATTTCAGGAAAAATAACCACACACACAAGAGGCAATTTCCCTGTGGCATATCCCCAGAGGCCACGCCTTTCCCACTGCTCATCTTCAGTACTGATGGAGCAAAACTGCATTTTGCAATTCAGCAATATGATCCCATTTAAAAACCTAATCATCTCCTACTTCAGCCTCTTCCCTCATGTATTACAAATTCTAACTACGTAGCTAGTCCCTGTAAGAATTGAGGTATGTTCTCTCTGTACCCCAACCCCATGGCACCTGCATAATGCCAGACTGATACCGAGTAAAATGTCAGAAGTGACAACTTCCTTACCCATAGTTTCATATGCATAGTTTCCTTTGGAGTACTTTGGAATTACTGGGAAATACTTACATCAACTTACTGCACAATTCAACTAAGGCAACTTTTTTTTTTTTTTAAATGTTAGTTTCATTCTCTCTGTTATTTTAACACTGTAGCAGTTTCACATCACTAAGAATTTTTTCTTTTGGTGTTTTTATGGCATTTTAGAAACAATACTTACTGTCCTATAGAGTTTGCCCTTCTCTGTTTGGCTTTTTTTTGTTGTTGTTATATTCAGTAGCACTGAAAGGAAAACTCTTAACATCTCCTGTAGTATCATAGTAGTCTGTAAGACACACTTGCTAATTCATTAGATTCGACACACAAAGTTCTTACACCCATGTCATCATCCACTGATGGTTTTCTGTCACACATTTAAGAAGAAAACAAACCCTTGGGAAATCAAGGGACAACAGTAGCCATGTCACATTGTGTAATGCAGGTCTAACACTAGCCTGAAGTCTAGGAGCAATTTAAAGAGAGTAGTTTTGTACTATTTCTGCTAATATAGTAGTTTTCTAGCTGTGGTAATAGTTTATTAATACAAGTAACTTCCTCAGCAATTCAAGTCTAAAGCTGCTTTCACTGCTGTTTATCACGGTGAAAGAGAACTGCAAAATATCTGGCTTGCTATTAAAAACCCCCAACTTTACAGGCCTGTAGACACCTGAAATTGTGTAAGGCCAATTACACTGTTCCAGTATTTTCATTAATGCACCTATATCACTTAATTTCAAGTTTAGGTATTGGTAAACATCCGAGAAAACTTCTGTTGGTGAAATGTGGCACATTTTGGGGTGAAGTTAGAAAGGAACACAGTATTCTTCTGTTTGTGTAGGTTCCAAGTATCCTAATAATGAAAATACAACTCCACTTGAAGCATTAAACAAGGCTTTTTTTGTTAACTTTTATGAAAGCCCAGTTAAACAGATTTCATGTGCTGAATTATTATTCTAATAGGAAAGTTTATTCTGCTCAGCCACACATTTTATTTCTGCAGAAATACCTGTCCACACATTCCTATGACAAGATTGACAAAATAACTTCGTCCCTTTGCTGTGCTTTTGGCTGGGCATGGACATCAATTAGGAAAATACATTCATTTTTACATTACAAACTATTTACAGGAAGCAGCTTCCAGGATAAATGTTAAAAGAAAGGAATGTAAATAATCAACACCTTCCAGAAACATGCAGTCTGAGTGGTAGCAGGCCTCACGCTGAACAGTTTACAGGTGGAAATTTCATGCTCTGTTGCCTATTGGCAAAAAATACATAAGTATTTTATTCTACAGTAGTTTAAAATCACTGTAATGTGCTTATATTTTCCTTGCATATCATGTGCTGGTTGCAGTAGTGTGACTGTACGGGACAAAAGCTGGGCACAGTCACAGATCCTGACCCCACTGCAGTACTACTCAGTTTGCAGGAACTGGGGCGTGCCAGGAGGTACTTCCTACCTACCGCCTGAAGAGAGTCTCCTGGTTTTATTTTACTAATCCCAAGTGTAGCAGTTAGAAGAATAAAACATACTGTGTCAGTTTTCTAGATGAAGTTTTAGAAAGCAATCTGCTTCTAGAAATCACAGGCGTTCAAGAAATAAAGACTTTAACACAGACATATTAAGTATTTCAAAAACACATTCTCTGACATTCATAGTTGGTCTTTAAAAAGAACTTGCTTGTAACTTTACATTTCAGTGAAAGGTTGAGTCTGCTGCTTCTGAAACTGAACTGTCGGTTATGCTCTAGCTCTCTGAATGCTTCAGTTAACATTTGGTTTTTATTCACTGGCTGTTACTATTCCGCCATAAAACTCAGTTTACTTTTAGGGTAGCCCACTAAATGTAACAATGGTGGTGGGTTTTTTTCCTGTCTGTGATAATTATTTTATAACTTCAATAGTAATAGACATTTGGCAGAGTTAGCAAATTAAACACAAAAATAAAGATCAATAAATAGATTTCGCTCCAATACA